TGTGTGTGTGTGTGTGTGTGTGTGTGTGTGTGTGTGTGTGTGTGTGTACGTACGTACAGCATCATGGGAACCAGCAGAGGTACTAATTCTCTAGAACTAGGGTTACAGGCGGTCATGAGAAGCAGATGCAGTGCTGGGAACCAACCTCTAGTCCTCTGGAAGGGCAGCAAATGCTGAGCCACCTCTCTAGCTTCAGAAATAAAAGTTGTTTTGTTTTGTTTTGTTTTAAGAGGGCATAAGACCTTCATTGAAGAAAATTAGAAATCTTTAATGAAAAAAGAAAGGAAACCTAAATAAGATTTATGTATAAGGAGACTAATATTTTATATTTACTATTTTTCTCAAAATAGATGCATAAGCAAACTGACCAAAGGCTGGAATACAGCCTTGAAACAGACTACATGCTACAACTGTCACATCACAGAGGCTCAGTTTTGATTGACAGGAGAGTAAAGGGTCATGTAACAAATGATTCTGAGACAACAAGTTACCCATCTGGAAGAAATGAAATTGGATTCTTCTATTTCCTCCTCCTCTTTTCTTTTTGAAGCAGAGTGCCATGCCTGGCTGGCTTCAAAACTTGCTATATAGTATGTGCGCGCTTGAACTTAAAAAAAAAAAATTTACTTTATTTTCTGTGTCTATGTGTTTTGTCTGCATGTATGTTTGTATACCAGATGAGTGCCTGGTGACCACGGAAGCCAAAAGAGACTGTTACTGGACTTTCAGCCAGTTGCGAGACACCACATGGGTTCTGGGAATCAAATCCGGGTTCTCTGGAAGAGCAGCTAATGCTCTTAACCCCTGAACCATCTCTCCTGCCCCAGCCCTTGAACTTCTGATGCTCCTGCCTCTACCTCCGAAGTCCTAGGATTATAGGACCGATTATACGCAGGGTTATAGGCAATGCATCACCACCCTGTTTTTATGTGGTCCTGGGGACTGAACAGAGGCCTATGGGTGTGCTAGGCAGACACTCTACCAACTAATGTAAGTCCACAGCCCTGAAATGGGATTCTTTACACCATACAAAACTATCGGAAGAACAAATACCAAAGACATAAGTTTCAAAGACAAAAAGCACGAAATACTGAAAAGCAGAATAAATAAAGCTGACCACATGTTAGTACATCCTAAAAGATATAAAGTTAAAAAAAGAATCTATGCTACGATAGCTTCTGCATATATAATTGGTTAAAAACAGGACCTAAGCATACAAAATGTTTCCTTGAAATTAATAAGGAAAATGCAAACAAGATATTTCAAAGCAGAGGAAATAATACTGGTCAACAGATAAAGAGATACAAATAAAAAGACATACAAGATGTTACTCTAAAACCACTAGAGAGACAAATACATTGAAGTCAACCAAGAAGTCGTGGATGGAGAGCATCCGGAATTCATCTATAAGACAATGCACACACACTTGGGCACCTTGACTCAGCCCATTCTTCAGTCATTCACTCAGTGACTAATGGCTGCTGTCTACCAGCACCACTTGAAACAGGCAAACAGCCCAGATCCACCTGAATGCCTGACCCAAAAAACCGTGAGATCCACAAAAATGAAATGAAGTCACTGCTTAGGCAAGCATGTGCCCCACAGCAACAGAGAATCAAAATACTGGGACTATGAAGTTCACAGGGAGGAATGGCAGGAGCTATCATACTACAAAAGTGAGCTGGTACACTTCAATAGTACACACAGTAGATATTACAAACACCAAGCTCTATTCATAATTATATTCACATTTCCAATGTAAGTTTTCCTTTTATTAACAGAATAAAAAATTCAACATATCTGTTTGTGCTTTAAGTCAATTAGCCAAACATTTAAATGATTCACTTAAAGAGGAGTTCTGAGAGTCACTGAAAACATTTGAGCTAAAGATTCACTAAAGCCCACACTGACTATATTAATGGGCAAATAGGCTTATGGCTCTGAGCAAAGAATTATTCAACACAACTAAGTCTCCCTTAACATCAAAACAATTTTCCAAAGTTGGGCCATTTTAAAATGTCTTCCCCCTTACGGTGGACAGATCATCTACTTCTACAAAACCAAGTCTGCAGACCAGGAAGCCAGGGTCTTAGACTTGAATTTAAAAGCGTTCTAAAAAGAAAACTTCCTCCCAGAGAGCTTAATCCTTTCTTACAGTCAGACCCAGCAGTTTCACTCATGGGAAGAAAGAACGTGGGAGTGGAAGCAGGTGCAGAGGGGTGAGGGGCTACAGAAGCCGGTTCCAGCCACTTCCTGTGGGCAGCGCAACGGAACCTACATAAGCATCCTAAACAGAATCAAGTACCCTTAACCAGACCACAGAAGCCTAGTGCTCTTTTAATTAGCCCCTTACACTCAGCTGCTTTTGTCTCAAATTATGAAAAAGTGTTTTGGGATCCCAGCTGAATCTTTTGTGGCGGGCTGATTCAGACACAAGAAAATGTCCCCAGTGCTAAACACTAATGAATAGGAACCTATAGTCAACAAAACTGCTACAGGAATAGATTTCTCCTCTCCTAAAATTTCTACTTTAGAGAAATGCTGCTGCCCAGTTCCCAGAGCAATGAGAAGCAGCAAGGCTAAGCCATACAATGAACCACGATATCTAGGTTGGAAGTAAAATGAGTACAAGGGTAGGATGCTTTGCTCACACTCAACACTTCGTACTGCTACTCTGAGGCCTTTCCTCCCGCTGGAGACAGAAGCGCCATCAACTGAATCATATTTAGGGAAAAGTGCTGACAGCTCATCAATTGATTTTCAATGAAAATGCTAAAAAAATTAATAAAGAAGTTAAGCCGTTGAAATACAGTTTCACCAATTAGCTTAATGTCAGAGAATTCTAATTAGGCGCCTTGAGATTGCTATTTAGTGTTTAAGCCTTCAGAGTGCCAAATTCTCCTTTTCACACAAACTGGTTGCAAAATTAAAGACATTAGGAAGCCTTAATTACATTATCAGAACAGCTGGGATTAGGCAATCTCTGAAGTCAAGACGGCATTCTTTTGTCCCAGGATGGAAATCCCTGGCTTTCCAGGGTGCTGGATTTTGGTGCCATTCCATATCTCACCCATACAAAGCAAGCTGCATTAGGAACAAAAAATTTGCAGACAAAGAACAGAGTAATGCACAGCAAATAATGAACACATTACCAAAAAAGAAAAGGTAGGTGCAAAGATTAAGCCTGAGATCAGTAGGTTTTCTAACACCTACTGGCGGCTGGCCTGGCAACCCTCTGGTGACAGTGAGACTGAGAGAAAGTGCCCTGGGCTGGAGACAACTCTGTTATCTAAAGCTGAAGCACATTTCCCTGCCTCATCCCACGGGTGGGAACTAGCAGCTATTGTTTTTACATATTCTGCCAACACAATACCTTTTATGTGCTTACATTGTTCACTAAGCTATGTTTTCTTGCACGTGGAAGTCCTCTTTTTAATTCTAATTTCTTAAGCAACAGGATATTCTCCTTAGCCTCCTCCTTATTCCCTTCTGTATTCCTCTAAACAACCCATTTTTTTTTAAGGACTCACTTAACAGCTTGATTTCTTTTTAATTGAAAAATGGTGGAAATGAGGATTAGCAGTAGGAATGCCATAAATCCTTGCAGAGTGAGTGGCCAATCTGAATGTTGGTGAAAAACAAAATCCTGCTAATAGGCATTAGCCTTTAGCCACACAGAGCTTCCCCATATTCCAGATCCTGACTCTTCCCAAGCCCCAAAACTGTTCTAACTTCTGAATTCTAGTTTTCAAATTTAGTTGTAGAGCTAGAAAGATGGCTTAGTGGGTAAGGGCACGTGCTGCCAAGTCTGGTTACTTCCCAGGACCCAAAAGATAGAAGGAGAGAACCATTTTACAGGTTGTTCTCTGACCTCTACAATGCACACCCCAGCACCCATTGTCACACAGACCTCCCCCTCACTGTAATGTAAAATTAATTTTAGTTGTGGCATGTCTATTGGTATCCTCTCAGCTGGCATCCCTCATCTGGATCATTCATTGCTATCAACCCCTGGCCTGCCCACTGCTGGTCTGCTCATCTCCAAACCTGTCTTTCTGCAATCGAAAATCCAGCTTATATCACTCCCTGACTAAAACTGTCCAGTGGTTTTCCACTCCATGTAAATGAAATCCAAACCTATGACCAGCAGATGCTGGAAATCCCATCTCTGCCTGGTTCTTCAGCTCACATGGGTTTAAGAACTTACTTGGCGCTGGAGAGATGACTCAGAGGCTAAGAGAGTTTCCTGCTCTTGCAGAGGACACAGTTCAGTTCCCAGCACCCACATAAGGCAGCTCACAACCACTGTGATTCCAGGGGAACTGATGCCTGAGCCTCCATGGGCATCTGACCTCATGCATATCGCCCCCCTACACACACACACACACACACACACACACACACACACACAAACCTTTGTCTATCTTTCTCCTTTACACCCAGCATCAGCACCCTGGAACACAGAGGTATCTAAGTAACATTTGTTAACTGAGTAAAATATATTTAAAGTTAAAGCCAGCTTTCACTTCCAACATTACAGGGAATGAGGGTAAATATCTCACCAGAAGAGATAACACAGGTAACATACTATAAAAAAATTAAGCAAGTCATATGTGAAAGTTGTACTTCAAACTAAATACAGTTTCTATTATATTTAAATGCATTCATATCTACAGTGACAGCAAAACTAATTTTATATAAAAAAATACAATTCACTGGAGAGATGGCTCAGTGGTTAAGAGCACTGGCTGCTCTTCCAGAGGATACGGGTTCAATTCCCAGGATCCAGATGGCAGCTCAAAACTGTCTGTAACTCCTGTTCCAAGAATCCGACAACCTCACCCACATATACATGTAGTCAAAACACCAGTATATATAATTCAAATAGATCTTAAGGAGAAAAAAAATACAATTCCTCATGAAAATGATTAAAGCACCTGTCCTGCCAATTCCAGTCGCTTGTTGCCATAATAGTCTCTGTCATCGACTTTATTATCTCCTTGGGCCAGGATCACCCTTCGCACCATCACTGCAGTGTAGATGCACTTAGCTCGGAAGTTGAACTCCTTCACCTGGAATTCAGATATCGGAGAAACACTGTAAGATGTTGTATGCTAAATGAGAGAAGAATCTTCTTGAGAGAAGAATCAATGTTACTACATTCAAATAGGAAAGCAGTGAGTTGTTATAATTCTCCTTATTTTAGTTAATTCAGCTAGTCTATAAACTTCTGAGAGGTACACAAACTTTCCATCTCTGCATTTACTGCCTGAGTTAGTTTTCCTTCAAAGATGACCACTGCAACTGCTTCACTTCCCATGTCCTCCATGTCACTCAGTCATTGCACACTGTGGTTGGCATGTGAGGAGTCTAAGCTACAGCAGAGAAGATGCCAGGTGTAGACTGACCCTTAAGTACACTGGCACGTTCACTACCTGTCTTGCTTGGGTCCTGAGTCCTCAGAGGGTAAGTCTAGGACACTGTGGGAAGAGCAGTGCATTTGCTGTGAGTGAGGAGGCCAAGGTGGACATCCAGCCTGGGAAATCCATCACATGACTCCAGTCTCAGCCACTACTTGCAACTTCATAGCAGGCCCAAGATAAAAGTCCCTCTCCAGCTTTGGGTAAGGCTAGTAAACACAGACCAACGAGTGACAGCACAGCTATGTTCAGCCACCGATGTCTGAAGCTCCTTGTTATGCAATGATAATAAATAATTTATATTCTCTATTAGTATTTACAGAACTCCATGTTCCATTTTACTTTCCTAATCTTAATGTCAGGGAGTTGCATTGATCACCTAACTCTTCTGGCTGTTTAATAATCAATAATGGTTGTTTTATTTACCAATGAGAAAAATAAAGATTTTATTAATTACATTTTTAATTTTCAGCAAAGTCCAGTTCACAGTCCCCTTTCACATACATAAATACTAACAGACTTCCAGGTAGGAGTAAACATGAATATTCATAGTAACCATCCCTGATACACCCTTTCACCCACTTCCCCTTTTAACTACTACATGCTAGAAACCCAACTCCACACCTAAACTGAAATTATTTCTGAGTCCATTTTTCCAGGATAATGCTAGCAAATCACAAGGAAAGTGGGATCTCTCTGCTCTAACAATTGACATGACTTGTAGACGACTAGTAGCAGTTCAGACATTCGCTGGGGGATGTTAACATGAATTACCTGAAATGGGTAGGAAGCTCTAAAATGACCATAGGACACTGGAACTAAACTGTCAACAGAAGCCTGGAGACTTCTGGACATCACCACTAACAGTTAAGGTTTTCAAATCTGTGATTATATCACAAGTACCTGGGGAACTTGCAAAAATACAAATGGCTACACTGAGGCTCACTCTGGAGTTTCTGACTCAATAGGTCTAGGGTACAGTTTCACTGTTTCTAACAAATTCCCAGGTGTTAGCCCTGAGAGTACTCTTGAGCCTGGGTCTTGAAGAACAACAAACAGTACTGCTTTATCTTGGTAATAACTCCTGTTCCTGTACTGACTCCACTGTTTTAACTTAGGTTAAAAACAAACAAACAAAAACCTGTTTTAAACTATTTGAAAACTGTAAGCCTTTCCTAATTCAACTACTCTTTACTGATAAATATATAGCCCAAATTAAAAAAAAAAAATAGTGGCTCATTCTCTTTGCAAAAGAACAAAGGAATTATGCTTTAGAGCCTCAATTTACCAAAGTTCTTCACAGCCAGCAGGGTGGAAGAGGCCCATTCTGCCATTATAGCATTAAGCTAAGCCAGGCTCTTAATGCATAACACCATCCTGGGGAGCTGGGAATAGAGCTCTGTACATAAACTGTATCCCTGAATCACTACAAGAGACTACAAGTAATACTACAGGTGTTACTTCCTTATACTGATGAAGAAACTTAAGAAACATTCAAGTCAGTGCAAGAAAAACCAAGAGTTCAAAACCAGAATCTAAACAAAAGTATCTCAGCACCGAAGTTCTTACTGCTCCCATTATCCACTTCTGCAGTTTTGAATTTTAAAATCTTTTCACTCATCCAAAAGAGTATAAGATTTGGTTCAAATATGGGATCAATAATAAGAATTTTATAATTCTCTGACTTGGATCACAGGCATACAAGCAGAAGTAACAGAGTTATACAGTCATATGTATATCTGATCAAAGTTGTTTTAAGGTAAGAAAACTGAACCTGGCTGCCATCACAAGGCCAGTCTACTCCCGCAGACTCCCTGAAGAAGTAGTCGCAACCCTGGAATTGTATCATCCATGGTGAATACTTGCTGGCTGCGACGTAGCAAATGAGCACAGGCATTCAAGGGGGGAAGGCTGAGTTCTGGCAGCACAGCTGACTTATCATGAGAGGTTAACAGGAGATAAACACGACCCACTTCAAGGCCAACACACAACCTCCAGCCTTCTTTCTGTACACTCACCAGTCAGGTGACTAAGCAAACCATCCAGCTAACACAGATGAGAGAGTCTTCTCCATAAATGAGGAAAGCTGGATGGAAACTCTGGAATTCAAGGTCGTGGGATGACCTCAGCCAATGAATATTTTAAAAAGTGATACAGCCAACACTGACTACAAACAACCTCTGAAGAGGGAAGAGAAGTGCCAATGGGGCAGTACAGTCCTCTTGAGCATTCACTTGTGGGAAATATTCTTCAAACAGCAAAAAGCATTACTCAAAAGTCTTTAGACAGAATTAAGGAATCTCACAATACTCATAGCTGGCAATTACTCACTGGGACATGGGTCAGAATGGTAGAAGCCAGGAGCTCTCTTGCTTCTTCTATTTTGGTTTTCTTTGGTCCACCTCCCCACATTCTTTGTCTTCTTACTTTATTCCCTATGTACTTTAAAGCCTATAAAAAAACAAAGTAGGGTTTGAATTACATTATTGGGGATCACTTATCAGTGCTGACCTACTGTTAAAGCAAAGAAGACAAGGACCCTGGTCACAGAGACTGCTGTACTAGGAACACAGAGTCAACATCATGAAGCAATGACAAAAATAACACAGCCCATTGCCTAACTAATACACTGGTTCCCTTTTGATTTGTAAATTGTCTTATTCTTATAAAACTGATACATAATTATTTGTGGAAATTGAGAAATCATAGATAGAAGGTAGGTTTGTGTGTATATATAAAGCAGCCATCAATTCTTCATCCCACAGAGTATCACTGCAGGATGGTGAGTTTCCCATAAAGATAGCAATCCATGTTAAGCCCTCTACAGTAAGAGCTACAGAGAAAAACAAAACCTAAATAAATCCAGGATAAAGACACTGTCATAAACTAGATGACTTGAGAAATGTCAAAATGTAAGTTTAAATTCTTTCTAAACTAACCAGTAAATTTATAATAGAATATCTTATTCCCAGCAGGCCTTTAAAAGCCCCAAATAGTTGATTCTCAAGTCCTAGGTTCTATAACTTACATGGGTATGCAAAGGACTTGGCTAGCTGAAACACAGCTGATTTCAATGCTAACTGTACAGTACCTGGGCACTGATATCAGTCTTTTAATCTCAACGGTGAAGGGAAGAGGCAGGTGAATCTCTGTTAAGTTCAAGGCCAGACAGGGCCTATCTCAAAAAAAAAAAAACCAAACAAGTTTGTGGTGGGTGGCACATCCTTTAATCCCAGCATTCAGGAGGCAGAGGCTACACAGTGAAACCTTGTCTAGACCCCAACCCCCAAACAAACAAAAACCTCAGAAATGAAAATGGTGTAATGCTGGCAAGGAGAGAAAAACGGATGCAAATCACAAGTCCAAAAACAACCTCACTGAGTGGTCAACTGACTCTTGACAGAAGTGTCAAAACAGGAAAGAAACTGTCCTTTCAACAACTGGTGGGTCAAATACGACTCAGTACCCACACATGAACAAGGAGCCCTGGCCTCCATCTCACACCAAAAGAAGAACTAATTTGAGGTAAGACCTGCTGCACAGTGGTGGTGAAAGTAGATCTGTGAGTTCAAGGCCAACCTGGTCTACAGAGTGAGTTCCAGGACAGCCTGAGCTACCTAGTCTTGAAAAACAACAAAAAGATTTGAGACCTAACATGAAAACTAAAAGTACATGCCTTCTAGAGAATGATTCAAGACAGTATATCCTGACGTGGAGAAGGCAAGGACACTGAGAGTAATAACTATAAAAACAACACAAAGCTTTCTGATAATTTGGTGGTTTTGTTTTTTTTTTTTTCAAAGTCAAACAACACTGTAAAAGAAAAAAAGAGAAGCAGTGAAATAGGTGACAATATTTACAATATAAAATCTGGACATTAGATTAATATCCAGACCATTTTGTTTGTTTGAGAGAACTCTGTGTAACAGCCCTGGCTGTCCTGGAATTCCGTAAACTAGCCTGGCCTGGAATTCATAGAGAATTGCCTGCCTCTGCCTTCCAAATGCTAGAATGAAAGACTATGCCACTGCATGCAGCTCAGATTTCATTTTTAAAAGATGTCTGAAATTCATTAATAAAATGATTAACTTAATGAAGGCAGTGAACAAATAAGCAGTTTGAACACCTCACAAACAAAACCAGTGACTGATTCACACATGGAAGTGTACAATGTAATTTGCCATCAGAGAAATGATTAAGGCTATAATAAGATAATGCTAACACCTGCTAGAAGTAAAATTAAAAGACACGACACCAGATACTGTGACAATAAGAAGCAGCCAGACTTGAACACTGTGGCCAGTAATACAAAATGGTATGAGTATCCGTGGATTGGAGATGTTTGGTCATTTCTGAATTTATAAAAGTTAAAAAGTTCTCTGGCCCAGTAATTCTACTCTAAGTATTTACCCAAAAGAGAGCTTATGTTCTCTAAACTGAAATACCATCATTAAACTTTTCCCCTTGGGAAAGGATGCAAAATTCCTAACTTCTCTGAGGCAAAAAACTAAATCAAACCAAAACAAACAACAAAACAAAACAAGAGGGGCACAAAGGAGAGGGAATCCCCTCTGATGTTACATTATCATCTCTTCCCTGGGTACCCAACCATGCTACCTTTTCACGGTGTAATGGCTGATGGAAGAGCTCACATTCTCAGCTAGGCCAAAATATTATCCCCCAAAAGGCAATGAGCACCTTCTCTACACACCGGGGGCCTTTACAAAGATGAAAATAATATAAACAATACAGAGCTAAGGCTTCAGAAGAGATGACAGGGTGGAGGCTAAAAACAGACATAAAAACAAAACACCCCTACATTTTAAGCAATCCACAGAAGCACCACATCTTCTAAACAGCTATCTGTGGAATAAAAGTTTCCTCCAAGATGTAAACATTCCATCCCACAGGGAAGTTCCATGAGCAGGAAGGTAAACAACTCTAGATAGCTTCAGGGATTCTCTAAAACTGAGCAGATTCAGTAGCCCTCCTCCCTACCACAGTAAGCAATTAAAGCTGAGAGAGCCTCTCCCACAAGCCTCGGCACAAACAAGATCCTACAAAAGGCTGCCTGCAAGAACAGGAACCAGCCAAGCTGCTTGCTGTACAACAGTCACTTGGAAAGGGTACTCCGCAAACCCAAACCTGTAGCTGAGTGCTCCAGGCTTTCCAGCTTTCGTGAGCTGTCACCATGCTGGGGTGGGTTCTGCTGCTGCAGCCGTCTTTGCGTCATTTCTGCTCCCGTGAGTAACCTCCTTACTGATACTCTTCCAAGAAAACTCATTGGTTCATCACGTTGGACTTTGGTGGATCCAAACCACTGTGGTGTTATCTGTCACGTGATCCTTATCTGGGGCAGGAGACATGTGTTGTGTCTACACAGAAGTTTTGTGACACAACACTATTACACACTGAAGAGCACTTGCTCTGTCCTCATCCAGAAGAGAACACTCCCTTCCTAATGCTTTCACAATGATACTATATATTCAATAAACAAACCATTTTGAATTATTACTAACCTAACATGCAGACTCTGAGCACTTGGAAATTCATGCTTTCTGTTCAGGGAAGCAAAAGATTTGTTTTTCTTAAGTTAATTAATTACATCTTTTTTCCATCTTTTCTCAGACCTAATCTCATTGAGTCAGCTGGAAAGTCCATCAGTATCTTCTAATAGATATGAATGTGAGTTTCCAACCTCACTGTTTAACCCTTATACAGTTCTACAAGCTGAGGATTGTCTGAGCAATGATGGTTAAAATGTGTCAAGGAACTCATTAGAGCCCTCTGCCACCATGAGGCTACTCTTCAGTCACAGACAGGCCAGCACATCACCTAAAGCTGAGCTATCCAAAGGACTGCTGTTCATTTCCTATTTCCTGCATATTTCTCAAGTGTTTCCTCTCTTAGATCCCTGGACATGACTCCTTAATTTAAAAAAAAAAAAGATTTATGCCTATCAAGTATTTCACTTTCAAGAAGGGCCAAAAATAGTATCCCTAATCCAAACGTTTCCTGATGTTGTTTGCCAAATGATTTGAGTCAATTATCCATTAGCCATGAAAAAGAGGATAGCAGTGAGGGACAATCTCTAGTGATCTGTGCCTTGGAATTACATATATTTAAGTATGATATTAACCTTCCTAAGAGAGTGACTTAATCCAAAAACCACCAAGACTGATTTGAATACAGAACATACAAACAGACATTAAGTGGCAATGCTCTCTAAGAAAGAAACCCAGGATTTCTATTCTCCTAAGTATCTCATGGGCTAGACACTGTACATACGGACCAATCTGAACCACCTATTCTGGTTCTACAGGAGTGCACCTCTAGATCCCTGAGGGCGTACGGAATGCCACACAGATTCCGAGCCAGCAAACCACCTTACAAATATCAGGATGAAAAGCCAAAGTACTATGAGGGCTCTCCCACATGAGAAAGGAAGAATAATTGCTTTTAAAATTCTGTTTACACACACGGAATTCCCTAGCATCATCCTTGAGTCTTGTCTTCAGATACCAAGGGTCTAACCAGGCAGGCCTGGGTCAGTGAAGACCCGGAGGTAATAAAAGGAACTATTTCTGGAACTTTCTCGGTACTGAAGTCATTAGGAATTCAGAAAATCGGATAAAAACCAAATGATGCAACTGGAGGTTGAGAATGAAATGGATATTAAGAGCTAAGGACACAGCTTATTGGCAGATTGCCTGCTTAGCATGTAAAAAGTCCTGGTTTTGGTCTCTTTGGTCTCTGTGGTGTTAAGTGAGAGATGTCTCCCAGAAGTGCATGTGTTTGAATACTTGGGTCTCCAGTTGGTAGTTCTAGAACCTTCAAGAGGTAGAGCTATGTTTGAGGAAGTATGTTACTGGGGGTGGCCTTGCCCCAATTCCTGTGCTCTCTCTCTCTCTCTCTCTCTCTCTCTCTCTCTCTCTCTCTCCTTCCTTTGGGTGGATGAACATGTGCCCAGCCAGCTTCCTGCTCTATGCCTTGATCGCCGTTACAGGCTCTATCCCTCTGGAACTACAAGCCACAATGAACTTTTCATTTAGTTGCTTATGGACATGGTGTTTTATCACAGTGACATGTTCCCAACTCACCATCAAAAGGATAGTGAAGAGAAAATTAAAAAATGCAAGCCAGAACTGCCAGTTTTGAAAGTGAACCATCCCCTCAAATGACCCGGGGACATGGTGCTTGTTACACAGGCAACCAGAAGCCTCCTGCCCACATAGACCTCTTCTGAAAACTAAAGAAACCACTGACTGATGACGTGCAGACTCATCAGAAGTCAAAAGAACTTGTGTGTGGCTCTTCTCCTAGCACCCTTCCCAAATCTACACCCCAAGGCCACTGCAGTGGCAGCTTATTGAGATGGACAGCACTGAAGTTGTCTCAGTTCACAGGAAGGGACATCATAAGAGGACACACCTGCATCTGTGTGAAAATCTGAGCCTTCTGGCACTCCTCCAAGCTGGGCCCAAATGCAGCCATCACGTGCTCCTCTGTTCCAATCATCTGCACAATTTCCTGATCGCTCTCAACACCCATGGCCTAGGAAGGGAAGAAAAGATGGAGGAGTGTTGGCTTTGTGTTCACTCACTGACATTTGCTTATGCTAATCTGGTATTGTTTATGGGTATTACTTCTAAGCAAAAGCCAGCTCTTCCCTCAGAAACGGTGCCATCTGGTGCTGGCAGCCACAGCCTAAGCTGCACAAGAACCTGCAACAGAAACCGTCATTTGGGAGAGGAAAACAAACACCCTCGAGTGCTTTCTGCATGCGTCTACCCTCTCCACTTTTCCAAATCTTCCAAGAGTTTCACCATGAAGAAATGAGGCTGGGAAGCCTAGTGGAAAGGCCTGTAACAACAGCAAATAAAAGCAAGACCAACACTCCTGAACATCAGTGTGACTCTGACTAGTTTTGCCACAAGATTAATTTTTTCTGAAAATTATCAAATCATTCATATTCATGCCAAAAGGATTTCCCTAAAGGTTGTTTTAGTTCAGTATTCTAGAGACACCATATACTATGAAAACTTACAAAGTTTAAATCTCAGAACATATTTAATGTATGAAGTATCAGACCCTCTTAAATGTTCCAAGGTAGCAGTGGCTGCATGTCTCTGCAGGTTCCGCGTGGTCCTGCGCTCACTCACTTTTTCAGACACCTGCCTAAAAACTGCCATATGGAGAGACAGAGTATAATCCCACTAACCCTCTCTGTGTGGTAATGACCTGCTTCACAGAAGTCATCAAGATATCTTCCTTCAGCTTTGAGAGAAGACTGAACCAGAGGACAACTGTCTGACAAGTTTGTCACTTGCCTTCTGAGTTCTCTTCCACACAAACGAGAAGGAAACCGAGTCCTCAGTTCCAATGCAGACCTCCAGGGGCATTGTCTTATAATCCACTGAGAGGGCTGACTCCTTAGCATTCTCCCCGACACAATGGCAACCCTACTACTGTCATGTGCTTCCTTCTACTGCAGGTGCAGAGGCAGCACCATGGAGCCCTTCCAGCTCAAAGTTCAATGAGGACACATTTGACCTTGAAAGTTCTCAAGACCTGGGAAAGGCTAAGTAGCTGATATGTCCCTTTTATACCAACTGAGAAGAGTTTAAAAATGTCCCCAAATCCCCTAGCACTAACCCCTCTGAGCACAGAGGGAAGTCCCTCTGTGGGAAGAAGTAACATACTCAGCTTTGGAAACTTGGTTTTACAGGGAGCAAGTTTCCTGCTTGCTCCCGTTGCCAAATCTTGAGGGCACCCATCAAGAATGTGAGAATGTCCAAAGGCAGAAAAACAAAACAAAATGACATTTATAGCATTTTACAATGTTGGAGGTTGCCCAACTAACTGATGAGTATCAGACAACAACAGTCAGACAAACATACTGATAACTGAAAGACAGTGAACCAGAAACATACAGCTAAGTAACCCCCAAATTTCTGACCAACAATACAAGAATGTACTTGTAGTTTTTTCTGAATCAACGTAACCCCTTCTTAAGCAATGAGGGAGGCTGAGGAAACTGGGAACTCAGGAAGCTGATGAACCTTACAGAACTCAGCACGGGAAGTTTTAGGACTTAGCTAGCTGTGTGGTGGTGCACGCTTTTAATCCCAGTACCCAAGAGTTAGAGGCAGGGAGATCTTTATGAGTTCAGGGCTGGCCTGGGCTACACAGGAGTTCCAGACTAGCCAGGGCTACAGGGTGAGGCTCTGTCTCAAAAACAAAACAAAGTTTAAAAACTCAGGAGGTCCTTTTCCAGACTTACAGAAACTCTGAACTTTGGGAGGGAGACAGGGGGCAAACTCTTCACTAAAACTGCCTGGGACCTGACAGTGAGCTCCAAGAATGTGGCTTTCATGAGCTGTCGCCCATGTTGGCATGGCTATTTTGGTTATGCAGCTGCCTTGAGCCATCCAAGCTCCTGTAAGCAACCCCAGTAAAGTCACTGGTTCACCAGGCTAAACTATGCTGGAATCATTTCATTGCTCAGATGGTGGTACCCCACCTGAGGTGAAAACAGGTTTGTCCATGCGTCCCCTGGAAAACCCACACAACAGTGTGATAATTTACACAGAGCTCAGACAGCAAATGTAATAACTAGCAATTACATCCACTATTTGAACATATAATTTTATTTGAGACAAACTGGCTTTGGACTCTTTTTTTTTTTTTCCTTTTCTTTCATTTATTTATTTATTTGGACTCTATCTATCTATCTATTTATTTATTTATTTATTTATTTGGACTCTCTTTTTTTCATTTATTTATTTATTTAGATTTTTTTTGAGAGAGGGTTTCTTTGTGTAACCCTGGCTGTCCTGGACTCATTTGTAGAGCAGGCTGGCCTTGAACTCACGGAGGACGGCCTGCCTTTGCTTCCCTGAGTGCAGGGATCAAGGCGTGCACTCTCATGCCCGGCTTGGCCTCGGCTCTTAATCTTCTTGCCTCAGCTCCCGAGTGCCAGAATTATAGGTACGCAGTACCACAAGGGGCTTCAAACTTTTCCTTTACACATAAATTCTCAAGACTAAAAATCACACATTTGTTTTTTTATCTCTAACTTGATAAAAGCTTGATTCAAGTAGCTGCTAAAAATAAACGTTATTATTTAAAAATCATAAATTCATTAAAGTAGCTTTTTACGATTAAAAGTTAACAATTCAAAAAGTGGCTAATTTTAACTTTTTAAGCAGAGAAAAAAAACTAGGCATGTAAATATCTGAACCGTTAAGTCAGAGCCACTTAGCTTATTTTGGTAATTTTTATTTCCGTAATCTCTAAGTACCAAAGATTACAAACATGAGCACCTAATTTTGGTGGTTTATAATAATGAAAAAAAAAAAAATCCTTCCTCATGCATCATTTGGTTGGCCACTTAAGATGTGCTTATGTGGAATCTAAGCAGAAGTTTTTAAATTGCCTAACACTCTTGAATGGCTTAAAATGGATGTAAACAGACTCCATGCATGCCTAAGCTATGAAAGAAACTATGCCAAGCAATGGTGAAAGACACCATATGAAGAAAGGATGCATACTGTCAAAGCTTTCCAGCAAAAGCCCAAACTCTTCCTATCAAGTCACTGAAACACAGAGGCCATAACTCAGTCAAGTATTATCAAAGGAGTTCAGCGTCAAACGCTGAATCAGCTTCAGCACTATTTAGCCTTCAGCAGTCATGGCTATAAATAGATGACATGTCGCCATGGATACAAACAAAATGCCCACCCATTTTGCTTTACAGACATAATTTAGACACCTGAAAAGTAGCATTATGTGGAACTCTTTGTACTCCTGAAACCTCATCACTCCCACTAATAAGACAAGAGAAAACGCTATACAACAATAACCTCAGGAAAAATGGCAGAGATAATGTTTGTCCGAAGGTCACCAATGGTCTAACAATCAGTAAACTGAATAAAACCCAAGACAGGCATTCTTTAGAAAGTGGCATGAAACTGTGTCCTCAAACACAGTGTAACTTTTAAAAGGTAGGAAAAAGAAAATACCAGTGAGCACAAGAGAATGACTTGCACCAATGGGCAAGGGTCCTGATGAAGCTGACTTCTATACATAGCCAAGATTCAGAAAGCTCTGGTTTTCTGTAAATAGCTGAAATTATTTATTACTAACAGCAGTCCTTGTAGGTAAGGGAACTCCGATGATTTCTTTACATCTGTAGTTGTTTCTCTTTAAAGATAAAAAATACCCATAGAAGTTGAAGTCTAAGAAACAAAGCCCAGCTCCCAAGATCCTTTTGGGTCATAGATGCCACCACAGTGCAAGTGCTGAAAGCTTGTGATACAAAATAGGAGGATTCATGGGTAGGAGAACCTGTGTGGTGAGTCAAGTCCACAAGAAAGGCTGATCCAGGCCTCACAAGCTCCCTACCCATCATATTCAGACTTAGCATGGCATCTGAAGACCCTGCTACGTCTCCCACTTTCAGCCAATTCTTGGTTACAATCAACAACCATCAAGTCCTAATGACTGTCAAGGTCTGTGTTAGGGCTACACAAAACACAAAGAGAAATGATGTGCCTCTTCTAGCACCCTAGTGTATCTTCTCTGGCTTCTGAAAAAAATGGGTAAGGATAGCTGAGCAGAGAGAAAGGGCCTCCTTCCTGGGAACATGTGATCTCTGTGCTTCACAGAACAGCCGCAGAGGTGAATTTTCTCTTGAAAATTAGTCAGGACCCAGAGAAGTTTGGAATTCTGCCCAAGGTCACACAGCTACTAAGCAGAGACACAAAACTTTAGGCTAAATCTGTGTAACTCTAAGATCTCCAGGAGCCTGTACTGTCACAGAAATAAGTTCTTAGCAATTGACTGAAACATTCCCGAAGGGAAAGAACAAAAAGACAACTACATATGATTAAAATCCTCAGCTCGCGTATTTGAACTAAAAAGTTTTAAAGGCATATTTTAAATGTTATACATGGCTTGTTGGATCATTACACATTTCTGGAAAATATACACAACACTCCCACTTCCAGGACTAAAATTCCATACTCTATCAGCAATGTGCACGAACATGTATGAATGAGGTCATCTCAGAGTGTGTTAAGACTAAAAATATCTGAGCTGAAAAAAAAAAAAATCTTAAATCACACTTGAGGAAACTGAAAAATAAATTACACACATAATAATGATGATACTATGATCTATTGTTAAGTAAAACACAAAATAAATTATTGTGTATATCACAAGTCAGAAGAAAAAGACCTACAAACATATAAAACCATGCTATACTTTTCACAGACTTTCTTCATTTTTAACTGGTTACATAAAAAACACAGACTGGTACTTCATAGCCTTTTTCTAGATAGAATTTAAATCGTCTATATCTGTTTATGCTTTCAACATAAATATTAAACAAATGTAACAGGAGAAATTGTTTTATTAAACTTTAGTCATAAAGTCCAAAGGAAAGAAAAAAAGCAATGTTTAAAGCTTTTCAGATTTTTAATCCATACATGTATCTCATTACACATTTTCTACATTAGCAATAAAAAAATAATCATATGCTTTCTGATTAAACACTCTTAGTCTAAAAACAGCAATGCTATTCATCTTCACGTTCATCTCGGGGTGGGGGGAGCCGCATGGATACATGGAGACATACTGCCCTCTGCTGAAAATATAATTCCAAGCTGCCAGATAAAATTTCTCCATCACATGTACTATGAAAAGCCAAAGTTCATTCTGTGCTTGAAAACACAAACTTCAAAAAAAGGAGTAAGAAAGCACACATGTGAGACTCTCTCTGGACTACTAACAAAATGGTTCTGTCATTATGATTATCATCATCACCAGTAAAGAAAATTAATGACTGTCTTTCATAAAACTCCAAAGCATATTAAGCTATAGTGAACATAGGAAATATTCCCCAGAACTCCTTCATGTGACTGCATCTCAAGTTAAAGAGCCTGCCTAGTCAGCACCCAGCCAATATCTGAATGACCAGGGGCATAGCACACCTGCTAGACTTGAAGAAGCCCTACTTCCTGACTCCCATGCTGCCTGGCGACATCTTTAAGAGCAGAGGCTCAGTCTCTTCTTTGTTACTCCAAATGATTTTCCTTTTCAACCAGCTTAGTTAACTACCACTGCAGAAAAGCTGCCTGCTGATAGAAGATATTTCTAGGGCTGGAGAGATGGCTCAGAGGTTAAGAGCACTGTCTGCTCTTCCAGAGGTCCTTAGTTCAATTACTAGCAACCACACGGTGGCTCACAACCATCTACAATGAGATCTGGTGTCCTCTTCTGCATACATAATAAATAAATAAATTTTAAAAGAAAGATATTTCTACTATAAAGCAACTATGGGATAGGAACAATAAGTCCTAAAGTGAAACTGAAGGGTGGCCACGGTACAGTGTGTGTCTAACATTATCCGATATGCTGTGCCTCCTGGAACAGCATATCGGATATGTTAGAATTTGGGCTCTTTATTAGTCAAGCTAGTCACCATGATTCAGAGTACACACATTCAGACCTCACAACATGTTAAATGGAACATAGGAGCTTTCCAAAAAGAATACCAATTAAACATTTCTACAGGAAACAGTTTTTCTGGTTCTAAGCCAAACAAACTTTTACACATCCAGTTATATCGTGAAGACACAAGTTTATTTAGTGACAACAGAATCTAAATGTCTATAAAAACTAACAGATCTAGAATTTTCTAGGATACAGGCTATAGATGTCCTTGTCATGTGACATATCATAGCACATTTTATTATATCAAGAGCTATTATGTCCATGAAGTGGGACATGATTAAATAAAGTAGAAGAATCTGTCAAATACAATAGGACCTGGCTAAATAAAATGGAGTCTGTCATATACAATAGGTCTGTATGACAGCTAATCCCAACAGTCAACCTGATGACATCAGAGACAGGCTCCTGGCCATTCCATGGTGACTGTCTTGATTAGATTATTGAGGTGGAAAGACCTAGCCATTCTGAGTGGCACCATTCCATGGGCTGTGATCCTGGACTTTATGAAAAGGAGAAAGTGACCTGAGCACATGCATTCATCCTTCTGTTTCCTGACACAGATGCAATGTGATCAGCTGCTTCAGGCCTCTGCCATCTTTATTCTTCCTGCTGTGATGAACTGTGGGCCAAAATAAACCCTTTCTCCCTTATGTTGCTTTTCTCAGGGTCAAGTCTGCATGTACAACTATCACAGCACATCCAAGATGTAAGTTACAAAAACAAAAAAAGAACTAAGTATAAAATAATATACACTGAATGTATCAACAAAACACAGATCTATTTCTATTCATGAATAAGTAAACTACTTCTGGAAAGACTCATGAGAAACTGGTAACAGTGAGGTCTTTAGGTAGCACTGTGTAGTTAGGAAGAGGGTGGAGAAAAGCTGTTTCATCACAATACCCTTCTACACTTCAGGTATCTCCTTTGGAAAAAAAAGATTAACATAGAACTCATGTGTGATATAAACCTTTCTATTCCTAGAATCCCTTACCTGCCAAAATGCTAATTCTATATGAAAAAACACGTGGACTGGTGAGATGGCTCGGCAGGTAAAGATGCTGATGAGCTGAGTTATCTGGAATCCACATGGCGGAAGGACAGAACTGACTTCTACAATTGTCCCCTTGCCTCACACATACACTATGGTATGTACATTCACCCACACACATACATGTCAACACTTACACACATGCACACAAAATAAGTAAAATGTAGTAACAATTGTGATTAATAAAGAAAATTAACCAGAGAAATTCATTCTAGTTTTCAGAAAGAAAGCTGCAGCTTTACCTTAAAAATGATGACAATGGGTATATCTTCAGACAAAGTGTTATGCCTCAAATAAAATCTTCCTTGTTTCACAGCCATGTTGGTTCTACTTTTTTTCTCATGAGTAGAGCTATAAGTAAACACAAGCCAGTTAAAGTGCATTCCTACCCAGTAACTTCAATAGCAACGATCATTACCCAGTGAGGTTCAGCTGCTCAACAATAAAATCCTGTCTAATTGATTGGCTTTCAAAGATACACAACTTCCTGCCACTTCTGTGACTACTTAAAAACACTACAACTGTTTCTTCATCTTTGAGCTTATGGTGGAGATTTTGTGGATGATGAGTGACCTTTGACCTAACTTCCCTTCCCCCTTCCCTTGTGTATCTGGTTTGCTGGCTGGTTCTTGAGGAAAGGTCCAGGCTGGCCTTGAACTTGTTATGTAGGGATGATCATGAACTTCTGTTCCTCTGCCCACCTCCTATGTACTAGGATTACAAGTCTGTGTCACAGTGCCTCCTACCCTTTAACATGTTTCATTTTTATTACACCTGAATTATTTTGATCCAATGTAGGGTATATATTCATGACTAATTTTTTTGAAGAGAAATCTCAAAATAGCCCAGACTTGAGAAAGTTTTAAAATTAGTAATCCAAAAGTTACCCACAGTATTAGCACACAGCAAAACATAAGTTGTCCTAATTTAGCTTCTTCGATAAGTGTCTCTGTTATGAGATTCCTAACAGACTTTATAAGGCACTTGAAAAGCCCTATTCAACCACAACAGTACAACATATTAATCGCCTGCTACACTGTTGGCATGTGGTACACATGAGTTCTAATCTCCACATGACAACATGTACTGAGAGCCCCACTAGATCACATATGGTGAATGCAAGACTTGGAGAAGTTAAGTGACTCCCACTCCAGTGTCACAGATGGAAGCATCACCTTTCGGATTCAAATCTAGACTGCTTTGGCTCCAAAACTGTATACAGTTGAAAGAGGTGGATGCTGAGGACCTCTTACAATCAAGGTGACTCTGAGCGCAGTTATAAAATAGGAACAACATCATTTATCCTGAAGGACTGTTTTTACTATTAAACATAACGTCCTGCCAGGAGTGGTGGCGCACATCTCTCATCCCAGCACTCCGGAGGCAGAGGCAGGCAGGTCTCTGAGTTCAGGACAGCCTAGTCTACAAAGAAAATTCCAGAAGAGCCAGGACTGTTATACACAGAAACCCTGTCTCAAAAAACCAGACCAACCAACCAACCAACCAACCCATAATGTACCAAAGAAACTGGTTCCTACTAAGTCTTTGATCAAGGCCATTACTGTTAGCTGCCTCTCCATTAAAGAGAAGCCTGCAGAACCCTATGTTAATAGGTTCACTATAGGCCACCAGAAGAGAGACTACTGCACACTGATTATCTCACCTATGCTACAATCTTCCTGTCCTCATTAGCCCTCAGGTTTAAATCACAGGAGAATAAAAGTTACAAAAGTTCTACAGGGTGCTGCTGCTGCAGACCATGGGTGTACTGTGAAAAAAGCTAGTCTGGACTGCAAACAGTAGTGTGGTACAGTTTACTCAATACTATATATAAAACAGTCCTTGCTTACAAAAAACCTGAATACGAATATGAAAACCTTGAATAGTGCCTTCCTGTTTTTAACTTTAAAAGTTTCTTTAATGTTGTAAATTAATAAAGAACACAACTTAAATTAACTAGTGCCCTTCCAAACACTGTCTCACGCTTCCATCACTGAAATCTTAAAATCAATACTGTGTTTATAGATTCGTGCAACAAATTAACCTTAAATACACTGCCTGCTATTGAAATACTGGCCCCTTCACATGGGAAGACAACCACCTACTACTGCTAAAATGGTTAACATTTTGAAAAACACCATCTGTTTCCCTTACCTGGTAACTGAAGCTCCAACAGCTCCTTTCCTATCTGCCTCCACAATGATCCTGTTCTTGGACAGCTGCTCTTGGATAAGAATTACTTTTTCAACTCCTTTAACAATGAAGTAGCCACCTGCCCAAAGGAAACAAGAAAAGCTCACCACCTCTTCTGTAACCAGTGAATATGTGAGAGCAAGGAGCTCCGGAGGTGTTCTTCAGAGCACCAGTGTAGACTGGCCCACATTATATAGGTAGGTGCCTATGACCATTTGCTTCAGGCGTCGGCAATCATTAACTTGAAGAGACTGCTCACATTGTTCTGTGAATTGATGACAGTATCAGAACACAGTTTTACACAAAGAACTAAAGCTGATATACCTCTTGGAGACAGAGTGTATATGCTTGGTCTATTGCCCTGGTTATTTTGTTGTCAAGTCAACACACTGGAAAGATGGAGCCTCAACTGATGAACTGCTTCCATCATGTTGGGCATGACTATGGGGCACTGTCTTGATTGCTGATTGATATGAGGGTTTAGCCATTACTCCCACCCTAGACTGATGGGCCTGAGCCATATAAGAGAAATGAACATAAGCCTGGAAAAGACGACAGCAGTGTTCCCTCGTGATTTCTGCCTCAGTTCCTGCTTGAGCTCCTGAACTAACTCCCCTCAATGAGTGCTTATGACTATAAAGAGTAAGCTAAAGAAATCCTTTTTCTTTGAGTTGCTTTTGGTTGTAGTGTCTATCAAAGAAACAGAAAAGCAAACTAGGACAAAAAGCAGAACCAGAAGTGGGGTGTTACTGCGATGGACCTGACCATGTTGATTTGAGGAAGACTATAGGAATATTTGGAACTTTATGCTAGGAAAGTCACTGAATGCTCAGAGATCAATGGGTTATTCTATGAAAACTTGAAAGGTTAAGAATACTGAAAGTACAGACAATGGGAACTTGGCTTGTTCATGTGATATTTTCCATTAAGAATCTGCAGAGGTGAAGCCTTCTGAGTTTTACTGGGACAATGGAGGTTGGTTAACAGGGACTGAGAAACGGTTGTGATTAAAGAGAGACCAGCCACCACTGATGAGAAATATTCTGGGAAGCATTTCATCAGCCAGGGTGAGTTCATAGAAGCTGTAGTCCAGAAGGGTTCAAGGCTGCATTTCAAGCTGGCAGCAGAACTTGATAACTTGATGGCTCAGGGGTTAAGAGCACTGACTATTCTTCCAAAGGTCCTGAGTTCAATTCCCAGCAATCACATGGTTGCTCACAACCATCTATAATGCAATCTTGTGCCCTCTTCTGACATGTAGGCATACATGCAAGCAGAACACTGTATAAACAAATAAATAACTTTTTTTTTAAAGAGTCTTCGGTGTAGCACTGGTTTGACAGCATCAAAACTACAGGACTAAAGAAGGAGTGACAGAAAGAAGTTGAGACGTGGCACTATGGGACACTGTTCCTGTCCTGAAGACAGACCAGGAGAGGCTATTGGTGAAGGTGAAGCCTCAGCTAAAGTGGAGACTCTAAGATATTGGAGACGCCACGATCATGGGACATCTACAAGGATGATGGCAGTAAAGCTTGCCTGTGCCTATTTGACAAGCTATGTGTACTATGGGTGGCAGAACCAGAGAAATGGAGTGTCCAAGCCTCCTGGAGTCAGAAGATCATGAGTGTATCTCAGATGTCAGACACTGAACTGAGTACAACTGTACCCTGTTCTCCTTGGAAGAAGGAAGCACATAACTTGTTTGGGGTTTTACAGAGGGTCAAACATTAAGAGACTTGGAATTTTTAAAGAAACCCTGCACCTTTAAAGCCCTGCAATCTTTAAAGGCTGTGGGACTTCTAAAGGTGTACTGTATTTTACATTATGATTCTAACATGAGATACTGGGAACAAGCCAGAAAGGAAAAGCTATGGTTTAACAAGGATGTGTTTGTATGTCAAGCTGACCAGAGAGTGAAGTGTACTGGTTAGTAGTGCTATCCACACACTGGGAAGAGGGAACCTTAACTGAAGAACAGCTTTCATCAGATTATCCTACAGCATGTCTATGGCGCATTTTCTTGACTGCCAATTAATATGAGAAGACCCAGCCTTCTCATATTAATTGGCGGTACCTTTCTTAGGCAGGTGGACCTGAGTTACATAAGAAAGGCAGAAGAACATGGCTTGGGAGTAAGCCAAAAAGCAGCATTCTTCCATGGGTTCTGCTTCAACTCCCACTTGAGCTCCTGCCCTGACATGACAGACTGTGACCTGGAAGTGAAAATCAAATAAACCCCTTCCCCTCCAAGTTGCTTTTGGTCAAGGTATGCACCATAGGATCAAGAAAACAATCTATAATGTCCATATATTTTACCAAGCCAACAGGTATACCAGGCAAATGAAAAAAGAAATATGTTAAACAGATGAATCTTTCTGGTGGTAGAATTTACTTATTTATTTATTTGGTTTTTTTGAAACAGGGTTTCTCTATATAGCCTTGGCTGTCCTGGACTCACTTTGTAGACCAGGCTGGACTTGAACTCACAGAGATCCACCTGCCTCTGCCTCCATAAGTGCTGGAATTAAAGGCATGTGCCACCATACCCAGCTCCAAAATAATGTTTTACACTGAATAAAAGTCACATGGCATTATTACATATTTTTTCACATAATTTAGATATAGGATAGAGTAAGATTTTGTTCTGTCTTTAAAATATAAGCAAAAAACAACGTAACACATTTAACTTAGGAACAAGTTAAGAGTCTGGTAAAGGCTCCTATTAAGTCCTTTCTAAAGGTAACAAGATATGGTAGCACATGCCTATATGCTGGGCATTTAGGAGGCAGGAACAAGAAGATCAGGTGATCAAGGCCAGCCTTATCTATTTAGTGAGTTCAAGGCCAGCCAATGTGTCATGTGACCCTGTCTCCTTAACAGTAAACAAATAAGCAAGCAAGCAAACAACAAAATTCTCCTTAGAGCAAGTAAAGCAACTGTAGGCCTGTTTTAAATCATAGGTGGAGGCATTGTGGGAAACTGTGTTGTATTGTTTGAAATTCTACCAAAAATAGCCAAGAAATAAGCACAAAAAATATAAAGTATAAGGGCTTAAAAAAAAAAAAAAACAGCAAAAAAAAAAAGTTTTTTTTTTAATTTTTCTCCCTTTTCTACATTTAACAGACTGTTGTGAACTAGTAGGGTCTTTTCAGAACAGCTGGGACAGCAACTTTGGAAGCATCTCAGATTTCAAGTATATCAAAAGAAACTACTGAACAAAAGCAGAAAGAAAAAAACAAGCCATGATAATAAGTCAGAAGTCGAGCTAGTAAACATTTTAAGCCAATGAAAGAAGAATCAGCATATTTTTAGAAATCCAGAATGAAGCTGATGCCAAATCTTCAGAAATTTATAAACACAGTTTTTAACAAGTCATCAGAAGGCTGAAAGGCTAAGCAGAACACTAGGAAAAAAGAACAGAGCAATAAAAGGGGATGGGGTACAGCTACAGCATGCAACATACCTGGGTCTAATGGACACTCGTTCAATTTGGCAAACTCTGCTGGAGTTTTCCCTGTCAGAACACAGTTTGAACTTCGTAGCATGATGGGCATTCTGTTTAAAGTAAACAAAAAGTTATCATGCACAGACTGAGGCATAAAAACGTGCAGTGAACACATGGCAGAGGGGCCTGCATCTCTGTACCATTTAGAAGAGGCATTCCATGAGAGAGCCAGGTGAAAACAAAGATTTCTCTGGACACATTTTCTGGCACGGATAACAAAGATCTACAACTATGCTGGATAATGACAAGGGCACAGCTGAGAAAAGAACTGATAAAACGGGAGACGTTATCAAGAACACTATTTTAGGGAGACTATGAAGAGGTGTACTCTATGAAGCACCACATGCGAGCAAGTCTAAAGCACACCTATTCAGACTTCTAGACAAACTTATTCAAAGGGGGAAAGGCTGTGGATCTTAAAGATGTGTGAAAGCCTTCACAGTACTATCTATAGCGAATAACTAGAGGACCACACCTAAATATATGATGGTGGAGATACAACACGGCAAAGTTGAAGCTTTCCCTTTGGTACCCTGCCTTGGCTCTTGTTTTAAGCCTTCTCTTCAGGTTCCAAAAGTACTAGCTGATGCTATCCATTATTTTCAAACTTTTTCTAGGGAAAGTAACTTCTTCCATAACTATGCCACCCATAGATAAGTCTACCAAGAAGCCCAGTGCAGAATTCAATGGACTGGAAAGTGATCTGCTAAGCACTCATCGCTGGTGTCAGGAGAAGAAAAGGAAATCTCTGACCTCAGCTTTAGAAAACAGCCTACAGTTACTAAGAACCACAGCTCTGTCTGGCCCTTACTCTAAGGATCTACAAAGTAATGTCATGAGATAGTTCCACTTCCCACACTTCAGATGGCGAAGTGAGGCAAAAGGACTTCTTAACTGGCTGAAGATCACATCATGGGGCCGGTGTCCAGGGAGTGTGGCTCCAATAGCAACTCACTTCTCACCTGCCAATGGGTAAGGCGTTGCGGATTATCCTCTGGCTGCCTCGGGTATACTCAATGTCCACTGTGATTGGGGCAGAGTATGTCATGTCCCTCAGACGGCACTGGAACGGAATCAAACAGTTTCTGACTCTCTTTCTTTTAGTGCACCCTCTAGGAGTACGGCCCATACCAAACTGAACTTTCTCCACCGAGCTGCTAATGCACTGCCTCAGGACACTGGAAGTCTACTTTACTCCTGAAAGAGATGACATCATGTATTGGCCTACATACTGATAGAGCATCCTTGGTCTTGAAGTCCAAAGATGGAACGAAAATCCTAGGAGTGATTTTTTTCTCATCAACCTGGTGCAAATAACCAGTTTGTTTCCACATTTTTAAAGAAATCAATCAAATTGTTCCTTGCAAATTCAGTCCATAGCAAATAATTAAGTTGGCTGATCATATTGTTCAAAATGGTTAACAACCATTAAAGAAAAGTATGTGAATATAAACTGTATTACAAAACGCCTTACCAAACCATTCACTACACCATTCTAGCCATCTCTGAATCATCAGAGGGACTTTAGAAATGGTTGGAATATATGATAACAACCTAAAGGACATTGAAGCAATGAGAAGATACTGGACTCTAGTGCCTTCAACATTATCAAACAGACAGTTATGTGGTAGTTTATAGCTTCAAAAGAGAATTTATCTGAACATTAATCACATAATTTTTTTGTGTTATATCCCACCTTTGGCTTTTACTGGAAGTTAGATTTAAACTTCTTTTAATTTTACAACAGTGTCTGAAATTTAAAATTTTAAGTTTTCTATTCCTGACCAATAAAAATTGCTCATGTGGGCCTGAAGGAACAGCTCAGGAGTTAAGAATACTGGCTGCTCTTCTAGAGGACCCAGTTTAAATAATAAACAAACAAACAAAGAGATAAAAGTTTAAGAGAATACACTAAGAGCAGACTCTAGGTCAAAATAAGTCCAAGTAAGGTAAGATGTATAATTACCTCATGAGGGGACACTGGCCTAGTTACATTGAAGCTTTCTTCAACATCAGGAAGTCCAACATAGATATTAAGATATCTGAAAAGCAAATTCTTTCATTATCAATTATATGTCTTCAAAGAACATACACATATGATCCCTCAGTCTTTGAAAGTGCCTACCTTGCTGAGGATGACAAGCAAAAGTAACAATTATGTATCTTCTTGAAGTGATAGTCCATATAACTTTACAAACGAGGGAAAACGTTATCAAAGTATTTCTGTGTGTGTGTGTGTGTGTGTGTGTGTGTGTGTGTGTGTGTGTGTGT